TAATTTCCCGGCAACTAAGGTACTCGAAACACAGAGCCCTAATTTGCTACCGATGCCTAAATCTCATCCCGAGGCCAGTAAAGGTCAGATGTGCTTCAATTGTGTTACGTCAGCCGAGGCATTAGAACAGATCCAGGCCGGTTTGACTCGAATTGCCGTATCACATCCTGCGTCGAAGGTGAACGAAGAAGGACCATTTGCACCCATTGAGACGGCTGAAACGGTAACGTATGCGTTACTTCAGCAGACAACTCGCCGATCGGCCGGGCTACCGTATTTTATCCAAGTAATTAAACTGAATCTCAAAGAATCCTTTACATTATCTTGCAGTATGAGCCTCTAACTTCGCCCAAAGAGTATTTTTTCTTTTAACTCTTGTGAGTAGCCCAAACAATTTTTGACTCAAACATGACTATCCCCATTACATCATCCTATTGCCTTGGTGAACCATTCCGATAATCTGTCGTGGGATTATTATCGTCAGAGCGAGAGAATCAATTCACAACAAGCATGGCTGCATCTTTCTTCTCTATGGCTCTTCTTCATCTCCCTTTAGCCCTAAGCCTAGTTACTGGCTGGAGATAATTCAATTTTCTGCTCTCCTTCCATTAAAAATATTGCCCATCTTGTTGTCTTTTTGCTCCCATGTTTGCCAGATTTTAAGCTCAAAACCACTCAATTTTCTGTCTTATTCATCGTTCACTAGACTATATCTTATCTCCGAACGACCCATTCGCTTTTGTATGCTCTTCTTTCTTCCTTTACCCCTTTAGTTACGAGCCCATATATACATAAAAATGTTCCGCTACTACATCTTAAGAAAGATAAAATATGACATAATGAAAGACTGTACCATCATTTTTTATCAGTCCTAATCTTGCTCGATAGCTGAGAGGGTGGTCATTTTAAGCTTATTATTTCCCCAATTTATTGCTTCCCTTTTTCCTATTTTATTAATTCAAAAGATGTTATAAACTCTCTGATATGAGTAGAGTTGACGCTTCCATTAAATTTCACATACATTTTCTCATACTTACTTTGTAAGCGTCTCTAAGTATATTCTTTTTTATACTCTTTTTGTCCGACGACTCACTTTTTCCTCTCGTCTTCATTTCATACAGGGGATCATAATCGAGCTGATCCGATATTCATCCTCAAAAGTCTCTCTACTAGACTCTCTTATGCGACATTTGATGAGCGTGATTGACACCCATCTCGAGCGATTTGAGGCCGGCCTACATCTGAGCTCATTGAACCACATGGCTTCAGCATCAGCAATTGCCGTGCACGGCTCCAAGTGTTCAGCCACTATCAATCTGGAAATTGAGGTATAACACATTTTCTTTTTTTACGC